GTAAGATGCCAAATCCGTAGCCTTTATAAAATGAACATTCGTATGTCAAGATCTCAAGATGCCAAATAATTAACAATTAACAATTAACTAACTACTTTTTCTGCACTTTTTCTCTCCCCTTGTCTCTGTGTCTATTCGCTTAGTGCAGGGATAGCACCTCCACGACGAACCGCGGGGAACCAACCGGTTCGGCTTGAACGGGTCCTTCGCTCGGGTCTCCCTGTGTTGAATTGGACGTGCGGGTTCCAGACAGGTTCCAGAATTTATAAAATGAGAGTTCCTGACCATCCGGTTGGGATATTTGTTTTTGCACATGGAATTAATTATATAAACATCAGCCTGGTTTTTTTGTAATCAGTAGTACTGTAATTCTGGGACTTTGTGGCTGTCAACCCACTAGCTGATGGACAATGTTAATTTAAAAAAACATTGCGTGTTTTGCCAGGAGGGGAAGCTGTGCAGGCGACTGCTGCTGAGCAGGTTCCCAAGGATGATGCAGGAGACTTGCGTCTTCGTAGTTGGTTTTTCCTTGGGGTTTCCAGAGGGGTTCCAGAGTTTATAAAATGATGATTCCTGACCAACCGGTTGGGATATTTTTTCCACTGGAATCAATTTTATAAACATCAGCTTTGTTTTTTAGTATCACATGTAATCACGAATTCTTGGAGCGCAGTCTTGTTTGAAATTTTGTGTGTTTGCCAGGACGGGTAGCTGCACAGGCGACTGCTTCTGAGCAGGTTGCCAAGGATGATGCAGGAGACTTGCGTCTTCATAGTTGGTGTTTCCTTGAGGGTTCCACAGGGGTTCCACAAAGGGGTTCCGTGGATTATTCAAAACCTGAAATTTCAGATTCTCAAAATTCAGAATCTGAATCATTACTAAAGAGGAAATGATTCAGAATCTTAAAAATCTGAATCTGAATCTGTATTAGCTGATGTACTTTGCATAGCTGTGTATAAAAACACAACACATTTTATCAATAAATAAATACATATATTGGTTAGTATGTACGGTTTGTATTGTTGATATGTTATTTTTGTTATATGTACATAGTATTGGCTGTCGGTTTATAAAATTGGGTTTTTATGTTTTAATGCAAATAAATGACCCTGAACAGTGTTTTTCTTTATAAAATGAGAAATCAGACCATCCTCCGACAACTCAACACGTGAATTCTTATAACATGATATCACGGGGTTCACCTGCCCTCTATTACTGTCATTCAGTGTCCAAGTTGGTAAAGTTTATTAAATGACCTATGTACATCGATACTCCAGATCTTATGTAGTTATCCTTAAAAAACATACAAACCCTTATGTCATGTTTATAAAATATGTCTTGGAATGTGCATTTTGTAAGAGAAAAGGATCTACATGTTATAAGCCATCAATCACGGGGGATCATATAAACTACTTTACTTTGAGTGATCCCCACCATTACATTTCAATCAGATCATGTGTCTTGATGCCATAGTGAGGGGCATGTTGCCATGGTCGTGAGTATTGTAGATCTCGATTTTGCTTGTGGGTCCTCGGGTTGTGCGCTGTGGTTGTGTGTTGTGGTTGTGGTTGTGTGCTGTGTCGTGGTTGTGTTTGTGTTTGTGAGTGTGTGTTTGTGGCTGTGTGTTTGTGGATGTGTTTGCGGTTGTGTTTGTGGCTGTATGTTTGTGATTGTGTTTGTGGCTGTGTGTTTGTGACTGTGTTTGTGGACTGGTAGTGGTTGTGATTGTGCGTTTGTAGTTGTGGTTGTGTCTTTGTGGTTGTGTGTTTGTAGTAGTGGTTGTGGTTGTGGTTGTGTGTTCGTGGTTGTGTGTTTGTGGTGGTGTGTTTGTGTTTGTGCTGTGTGTTTGTGGTTGTGTGTTTATGTTTGTGGTTGTGTGTTTGTGGTTGTGTGTTTGTTGTGTTTGTGGTTGTGTGTTTGTT